GATTCCAGACCCTGGAATTCCTGTGTGGGACTCGGGGCTGGGGCTGTGGGAACAAAGGGGCTTTCACTGTGCCCACGAATTCCTCAGATGCTTTTATGGGCTGCAAGCAATGCACGGGGAGAGCAGAGCTCCCGGCAGTCTCCTCCCCCTGGAAGCACTTGGTTCACACCCAGGCTGGAAGGAGGTGAAAGAAAGGGCTGTGCACGTGTTTAAATGCAGGGGGCCCCCACTGCGTGTGGGGCTTGGATTTCTCCCCAAAAGTCTCTCCCTGCTCAGCAAGCCAAGGGTGAGGGCACGCAGCCTGGCTGGGGTCTGGGCAAGCAGCTGAGCTGCAGCCAGGCTGCTCTGCAATGGCCATAAATCAGAGGCACCTAAGGAAAGGGGGACAAAGAACACAGAGAGATGCCAGGGCAGCTGGCAGGGGAGGCTGCGGTGGCCGTGCCAGAGAACAGCATCAGAGGAAAGCCTCTGACCAAGCCCGTGAGGGTCCTGCCCCCACGTCCTGCAAGGGGATGAGAGCTGGCCCTGCTCTGCACCAGGCAGCACGGAGCACACGGGGACAGGGTATGTTGCAGTGTGACATCCCACCTCGCCCACGGCCCCAGCGTTGCTCCCGAGGGGCCTCTGCTGCACGCTGTGCTGGCCCACCATTGATTTTTCCACCAGGCACAGCAAGCTCTGGTGTGTTTGCCCTGAGTGCCCAGCACTGGGACAGACGGGTGCTGCGAGGCCACTACAGCAGCCTGACTCCATGGGCAGGAGGGACGAGCTACACCAGGGCTGGATAAAACTCCTCCTCAAGCTTAACCCAGGGCCAAACCCTGCTGAGCAGAGGAGCTGTTCCCCATGGGGTTGGTCCTGCTCGGGCTGCTGGCAGGAGAAGGGACAGGGATTGGAGCAGAGTCCCAGGTCCCTTCCTACCCCCATGCTGGGTGCCAAGACCACCAGTGCTCAGGGCAGGAGCTCAGCACTTGCTGTCGCTAACAGAAGGGTTGGCGAAGGCCCTGACCTGATGATGAGCAGTGATTTGTCTCGTTGGTTAATGAGTTATTACTCAGCCTCAGCTAGACACTGCCTTGAGGGAGGAAACATCTGATCATCTTTTAATAAACCCAGTTGGCTCCTGCGAGGCTCCTGCAGCTCCTGTATCTATAAAGCTCTCCGAGACTCGCGGCTTATGCGCAGACAGCGCTGCTGTGAGTCACAGTCTGGGAAAGGGTGTCAGAATCCTTGCTCAATAAATAGAACAAAGCAGGGAAACCTCGGGTGGGCAGGGATGGCACAGCCCTGCTTCCTTCTCTGCATGGCACCGGCCTCCTCAGGATGTACCCAGCAGGAGACTGAAAGGAATATAAAAATGGTTTCCGTGTTCCCCTCTTCACCGCAGATCTCCCAGGAAAACGCTGAGGTGGAACACGCCTGCTGGGCACTGGGTTTACCAGCAACAGGCTCTGCTGCCTGGGGGGACAGTCTTTTCACAGGGCCTCTTGGGACAGGATAGGGGGTGATGGGTTTAAACTAAAAGAGAGAGATTTAGATAGGATAGAAGGAAGAAATTTTACCCTGAGGGTGGTGAGCCCCTGGCCCAGGTTGCCCAGAGAAGTGGTAGAAGCCCCATCCCTGGCAGCAATCCAGGTGTGGTTGGACAGGGCTCTGAGCAACCTGCTCTATTTGAAGATGCTCCTGCTCACTGCAGGGGGTTAGACCACATGGGCTCTAAGGGTCCCTTCCAACCCAAACCATTCTATGTGCTCGGGGAAGATGAACACTGATGGCAGCACCCCAGGTGGGGGGCAGGAGAGCATGGGTCTGCAGCCAGGGTGTTCCCACAGGAGCACGGTGCAACGTGCCCCACACAGGATGCCCACAGTGGGGAGGGCACTGCTGTCACTTTGTCCCTTCCCAGAGTCCCAGGTGGTCACAGAGAAGGGGAAGAGCATGGTACCAGGGAGCAAGGCCAGCTCTCTGTGCTAACGGGGTCACACACCTTCTCCTGCAGATTTATACCACTCTCCCTCTGCAGAAGAACAAATCCTACACCGTGTCTGGTGGTTACACACATGGAGCCCAGCTCCCAAAACCAGCCTGTCTGCTCTTCAGTGAAGTGCTGCGTTTGTAAGGCCACATCTGGAAGAAATACTCAACATGAGGAATTGAGTAACTTGGCTTGTACAAGAGAAAATAACACGACCCTCTCCCCAGCCACAACCCACAGCCCCAGCAGCACCCAGCACCTGGACACACAGCAACCACCCATCCCCTGGACTCCTGCAAGGCAGGACCCTAACAGACACTGAGTTTATGTTTGAAAAGCATTTTTGCCCAGACACATCTGGAAGCAGTTTCTTTACCCAGATGTTTCTCCCCAGATACGTACCTTCCACTCCGTGTGCCCCAGATCCAGATGTTTGCAGAGAGCTGCAGGCCCCTGTTGGAGCTGTTGGTGTCTGCAGCACAGCAGCAGTTAACACCCCGAGGCACTGCAGGACACCTGCGCCTGCTGGAAACTGGAGACAAAGTGGAGCCCAGCAATGGAAAAAGCCAAAGCCAAAACTGTGTCAGACAGCTGCTGGGGAGAGGAGGGGGAGGCAGCGGGGACTGAGAGCTCTGGGTTAAAGCCTCATGCTGCTCTCAGCCCTGTGGAGGGAAATGCTGCTCGACTTCAGGCAGCTTGTGTCTTCCAGAGCCTCAGGAGATGGTGAGGGGCAGACTGAGGACACAGCACTGGTGTCCATGGCAGGGGTTATGGGGAGGTGAGCAGGGCTCGGTGTCACTGCCTAGAGGTGTGAGCTGGAGCTTCTTCTCCTTAGCCTGCAGCAAGACTCCTGCTGTAGGGACACATCCCACCAGGGACTGACCCACACCAGCACCACAACCCTGGGACTGAGGGCTGGAAGGGCTGCTTGCCCAGCTGGAACAGGTTTCCACCTCAGGCTTGGCCCAGCAGCTGGTTTCTCTGCCACCCCCTTTGTCCAAGGTGCACCGAGGGCCCTTCACCACCCCAGGCCCACGAGGCTGCAAACATATCTTTGAAGCTGCAGCACTACCCCAGACCACAGCTGGAGCTTAAGTCCTGCTGCTATGCTTCCAGCTGAAGGGCTGGCTGGGGCTAGGGAGGAGCACAGCCCCCAGCTCCCCCCACAAAGCAGAAACCACCTCTGCTTTTCAGCACTGCCCAGCACAGGTCACAGCAGCTGTGCTGCTGCTGCTTGGGTCCAGCTCATGGTAGAGCTGCTGAGACGACTCATGTTTGTCTGCAGCTCCACTTCTCCACTCCTCCTGCTGGTGTTACCACCCCTCAGCACAGCTCCTGCACTGTGGTGGCTGGTAAGTGCCCACAGCTTTTCTAAAAGTACCAGGGAGGCCACAACCCCAAATTTTGTTTGCTCCAGGAGCACACCAGCAAGCTGAGGGGGTTGTTCAAGGGCAAGCACCCAGCCCCTGCTGCACGAGAGGTGTGAAACATGCATTGACTGGCAGGAGTTTTGGGTCTCACCCTCCCACCAAGCACAGGGAGGAGTTCTGAAGGAGAAACCTTTCCTGCAAAGCAGGGAGATCCCTTTGGGCAGGTCCAGGAGCCCAGCTGCTACACCAGCCCTGTCTCACATCCTGAGGTGAGCCCCAGCACCTCCACAACTGGGTTACCTGGCACAGAACCATCCCACCAGGGCTGCCACAGAACTCACCCCCCTGGGGCTCTCCTGGCACAGCCTCTGAGCCACACTGAAGGTCAGCAGCAGCACGGATGGGCCACAGATGCTCCTCAGGTCACCTCCCTCTGCAGACCTGCCTCCTTCAGGCCATCAGCACCTTCCAGGGCAGAGAACTCATCACTTATTCTCTGGGCAAGGGCAGTTTTTGCTTGGAACAGCTGGTAAAGAATAAACTAGAGCCTGTTTAAATGTGTCAATTCACCTTTAATGTCTGAAAAAAATAAATGGTATTTGAGCCATTGCAGTTATGAAGGGAACAGATCTTTCTCCACGAGAGACTGTGAACAGGTTCACATTAGACTCATGCTTGGAAAAAAAAAAAAACAAACCCAACACATTCTCCTTTCAGCCCCAGAGTGGAGTTCTGAACAGACAAGACCACAAGAGTGCCCCAGCCTCTCCAAGGCACATTACCCCAGTGCAGACATTTCCATCAACATGAAGTTATGACAGCTACATTCTTTCTAGTTACAACATTGTTCTATCAATATTACAAAATTAGGCATACTTTGGATTTTGCACAGAGACAAGAAGGACTTTTACTTCAGGAAGTAGTCAACCTGGGTCATCAGGTCATTTCACAACAAAGAGCTCCCTTTCTGCCCTCTCTCCCCCAGCAGTGACTTATTCCCAACACCAAATTCACCTCAGACTCACCAGCCCAGAGAAACTCCAGGCATTAGTTGGCAAACCAATAAATAGAGCTGACGACAAGCACCAGATGTTGACTTGCTATCCCACATCATTTCTCCACACCCAGATAAAAAGAACTTCCTGCAGCATAATCCAAGAGTCAGTACATACTAAGACAACATCACTGCTGAACCTATTGGAGACCAAGACATTTGTCTGCCTTTGAAGCAGATGTCACATGAGTTTCCTTCACACAAACATCACATGTAAATTTAACTTCTTGGTACTGTGCTTTAAGAACAAAAGCAGATATCAGAACATGGAGGACAGGCCTCCAGAAATAGCTTATCAGCTACAGAAAATAAAAAAAAAATAAAGACAGTGGCCACTTACAAGTCTTCCACATGACTAGCTTGCTTTAAGGAGAGCATCAAGTTAAGGCAGTGTTGAGACAACTGGCTAAGAACATGCCAAATAGAGCTGTTGTCAGCAGTCACCAATTGGATATCCTACTCCATTTCGGGGACGGGCCATGTGGCTTTAGATCTCAGCACCAAGGTCTAAAGACTTCAGCCACAGGATGCTGCTTTCTGCAGCAAGCAGAAACTCAGGGGGATGTTTGTTGAAGTCTTCTAGACCAGGCTGAGTCGCTTACAAGTCTAGGTCAGTGTTTCAGCAGAGCCAAAGACACAGCGCTGGGCACTCCAGGAGAACACCGAGGGGTGCCAGCTGCAAGTCTGTTTATCACAGTCCGAGGTGGAGTTCAACTGGTGTGTGTGAAAGCCACGGGACCAAGAGCCACCCCACCAGCTTTCAGGGAAGGGCCAGGTACCTGTGCTGAGGCTACTGGAGAGCCAGCTCTCTGCAGTCCGCAGGGTGGGCACCGCGGCTCTCGCCGGCTTCGCTCCTCACTACAGGAGTAACAGTCTAAGGAAACCCAGAGAGAAGTCGGGGTCTTTTGGCCTGCCCAAAGAAGGAGTTACCACTGAGGGAGCTGTTGTGGAATAGGTTTATTTCTTCCCACGTAAAGGCCATTGTTTTAAGCATTTTACAGGTTTCCTAGTGCAATACAACCAAAAAAAAGCAGTAACAAAAAAAGAAACCGCCGCCTTCTTCCCAGGCAACTAAACAGAAGTAGATTTTTACTGCAACATATACACATTAAATATAGTATACAGTCCATGCAGCGGCACAGCCATGTTAAAGGGAGTCGTGGCTTCAGCCATCAGTGCATTACAGTCCGAATTTCACTTGCTCCTACTTCCTACCCAGACTTGAAGAGAAGAATTGCAACCTGACCCAAGTAAAAATAGATGAAGTGCTTTGTCTCGTGTGTTACATAGCTGCCAAAGTTTCTGCCAACAATGCAGTGCCAAGTTGGGTTGTATTTCTTGTCAAATTCCTGAAGAAAGAGAAGAGAGGCGTTAAGGCCAAGAAAGCCCACAGGAAAATAGCTCTAAGCACAAATTCTTAGCTGGTTCTGTTCACACGCTGTTGCCTCTCCTCCCACCTGCAGCATCTTTAGATTCCCCACTGCAAGACACTATTGTGTTGAGCAAGGTGGTGCCTGACACAAACCTCTGTGCTGGATTGTTTGAAGGATCCTACACAAGCAAATCATCTCCTGAGACTTGGAGCACCCATCAGGCTCAGGCAAAGAGACCAGACCCAAGAGCCCTCCTCGGCAGGGCGCCACCCGAGCCCTGTGTGTAGGCTTCTCAGGGCAGCATTTCTCCTCTCCCATTCCAAACCCACTCACAATAAAAGAAAGACTCTTGGCATGTTTGCTCCAGCAAGGCATTTGAGCTTAAAAGGTCACCTAGAAAAAGGAAAGAAGTCTGGCTTCTGCTGTTTGGGACTCTCCTGCACATGGAGGGGAGAAAACCTGCACTGAAAGTGTGCAGGCAAATTCACAGGCCAGACAGCACAGGGAGGGATAAGAAGTTGGGCTGCTCAGTTCTGGCTCCATAGTCTGGCTCCTACTTCACAGGTAGGACAGGGTTAAAGACCATTGTCCTCCCTCTAATTAATACACAACTCCCTAAAGCACCTTTCCCTCCCCTGAGAGAGCCTGAAGAACAGACTGAACACTCAAGATTAAAGCAAGTGTGAGTCCTCACACAGCAGCAACAAGACAGTTTGAGCTCTTTGCAGGTAAACTTTGAAGTAAGAAAAAGGTTTTTTGTCTTGCCAGGGCATGAACATGCATAAATTGTTCCCCTCCTCCCAACACACTCTCAGGAATAAAGGACAAGTTCTTTCTGGATGCCTTCTGTTGCCACTTGATCACTTTACAGGCTGTGTTGCCTCAAGCCCTTTAAGTCTTGCCTCAAAGTGATTTGAGAGGTCAGGAGACACCTTTGAATCCTTTATTTAAGTTTAGATGACAAGCAAGGCCCAGAAGCCAGCCCAGGTGCCAGGACTGCACTGCCTGTGAAGTCACCCCTCCAAACCCACTTTGCCTGACCACTGAAGGTGCTCCAGAGGGAACCAGCACCTCCCCAGATGCTGACCTCAGCTAATGGAATCCTGCAAATGGGGAGAGATCTCCTCCCAAGCCTGGGCAGCTGTCTCAGCTGTTTTTCAAGTGGCACCTTTTACAGCACAGGCAGCACATGGCCTCAAACTCCCCCACACCACCCACCCCAGAGCAGACAGAGCCCCACATGCAGGAGGGATCCCACCCTGCAAGAGCACTGCAAGCCCAGGAGCAGCAGCTGTGCAGCAAGCCCTGACCTGAGGCTGCAGCCAGCTCTTCAGGCTGGCAAATCCAGAGGAAAAGCATTCTCACAGTGTGAGAGTCTGGCTCAGCTGGCCAGAGCCACAGACCAGGCCCTGCTCTGCCAACAGCCCTCCTCTGACCTTGCAGAAGTCATTCCATCCTCTTGGGAACAGCAATACACACCAAGCAGAAAGCACCTTCTCCCTCCAAACACACAAGAATGAAGCCTCAAGACACTCAGGCTCACGAGCCTCAGGAAGCCTCAGCCAGAGCACCCCCTCATCCCATAGTTACCTTCTTTATATAGGCTGCAATGTCCTTTTCTATGTTGTACTTCTCCATGGCCTGTGTGGCACAGTCCACAGCGTCCTGCTGCATGTCCTCGGACATGTCCGCATTCTTGATCACAGCCTTTCTGTCAGACATCCTGAACCTAAGGCAGAACATGGCACTCCTTTAGTCCCTTCCCACAGAGGAGAACCTTCCCCTGCATCAGCAGCTGGCCTCTCTGTGGCAGGCTGCCTCACAAGCTGCTGCTACAGCCCCATTGTGGCCCAGGCTAAGGTGCCCCTGAGAGCTGGAGCACTGGCACTGCCTGGAGGTCAGATCAGAGATGGTCCAACACCACCCCGGCATTAAACACTGTGTGGGAGGAGATGGGATCTGCAGAGCCACAGCCCACCCAGGCACCAGCCCAGCTTGCCCTTTGAGGGGCACCAGTGGTGTGGAGCAGTGCTCAGAGCCCTGCAGAGGCAGCTCCCAGCCTGCCCGTCTGCAGCAGGGCTCGGGGAGCACAGCAACAGCAGCAGCATCTCAGCCCACCCCACACCAGGAGCCACAGCTCCAGCTGCTGAGCCTGGAAATGGTTCCAGCCCCAGCCCACCTCCCCAGTGCCCAGCACTGACCCCCAGCCCTGGCTGTGGCACAGGACAGGCTGGTCCAGGAGCCAGGCAGGGCACTGCTGCAGCCTCAGAGCAGAGGCAAGTGAGCCCTCCAGAGCTAGGGCCCCCCAAGCAGCCTGCCCACCCTTCCTCCACCTGCAAACCACAATGAGGATGCTAGAAACCAGTGTGCTGGTGCTGCCCAGGACCTCCAATAACCTGGAAAGGTAATAAACTGGTACAGTGGAGCTGGGCATGCAGCCCCCCAGGCCAAGCTGGTTCAGGGGCTCCACCCCAGGCACTGCAGCCATTTACACACATCTGTCCCAGCCCTCCCCAGCAGCCACTCAGCTTTGGAAGTTCCCAGAAAGCAGGGATCTGGCAATCCAGGCCCTGCAGCCTTTCTTCAAGCCAAGGCCAGGATCTGTGTCCTGTAGAAGGAGCCCCATCACCCTCAGGGTACCAGAACCCTCAAGGCCCCATCAGGAGGTCTGCACTGGGGAGGACCACAGCTGCTCACCTCAGCAGCAGGGCTTACCACAGCATGGGAAAGCTTCACAGGAATAAGCTTCTGAACAGCAAGGAGTGGCTCCAGTTAAGCCTCCAGAGCACCATTAAGTTTCCCAAATCCTGCTGTATGTCTGGAGTGATACTACCAACCATGTTGTCAAATAGTGAACTAACATTTTTAGCTCTAGCAGGGAGTGAAGAAAATCTGCTGCAATGATCCCTTCCTGGAACAGCCCCAGAAAACTGAAGGAGTAGCTTTGTTACAGCAATTAAAGGAGCCTGCTATCCAGAGAGAAAAGAGAATCCAGTTACATAATTGCAGCCCTAACACTACAATACTTCAATTCTTCACTCTGCCTGCACTTGAAGACTTCTATTGCAACCTCATTTATCCATTTCAGATCTGTTTAATGGAGCACTGCTATTAACACACACCAACAGCACTGAGAGGAGTGACAGGAACTGAGCTCAAACGCCAGCAGAGAGCACGTGTCTCTACCACAGCTCTGAACAAGCCACTTCCAGATGGTTTGCTCCCCTCTGTGCTGTGGTGTAAGCCAGGGGTGTCAGCCTGGGGCCCTGGCAGGACATGTGGCTCACAACAACGTAACCAAACGCCTGTAGATTTGGATTCACCCTCCAGGAATCTGGAAATCCCTTGGTAAAGTCTTCTTGGAAAAGTCCACAGGAGAAGAGAAGCTGCAGAAATTCACTCATGGGTCAGTCTTCCAGGAAAGCTTCTTGAAATAAAGAGGGGAAGAAAGCTCTGAGACACCTCAGGCCTTTGCACAGCTCCACAGCTTGCCAGGTTCAGAGGGCATCTGCCATTACATAACCAGCCACGGCGTGACCTGTAAAAAGCATCCTCCTTCCTCATTGTTCAGGCAAGGAGCATCTCAGTGCAGGCCCGTGCTGCCGGGGGCCAACAGCGCCATGGAGGAAAAATGACTGTTCTTCAGCAGCAGCCACAAACACTGGCCAGTCCTCCCTCCCCAGTGCCCCACTGCCCCAGGCACAGCATCCTTCAGGGGCTGGCAGCGATGCCAGGAGGGTCCCTGCCATCTCCACGGGGCCAGCAGCAGATCCGTGCATCGCCCCATCCACCCACAGGGGCACCACAGAGCGAGGCCCCAGGCTCAGCTCATCCCCGGGGGGTGACAGAGGCATCCTCCCTGCCACGCAGCCCAGCCACACCACAGACACATCTCACCCCTAAACCACAAGGCCATAGCTAGCCCTCAGGGTCTCGCCATCCAAGTGTGTCCCTCTCAGGAAAACCACAAACCAGCACCCAGCCCAGGGCAGGATGGGCCTGGAAAAAGCTAACAGCACAGCTCCAGCAGCCACCCCTTCCCCAGCCCAGGGCAGGATGCAGTCTTGAGGCAGGAAGAGAAGACCACAGCACTAGCAGCCAGTCCAGGGCAGGATGAGGTGCCAGGAGGGGGACTAAGCCCAATCCAGCACTCAACCTTTCCCTCACGAGGGTGAAATGAGGCCTAGGAAGGAGCATGAGGCCCAAGCTCAGCACCCAGCTGCCTCCCAGGCAGGACTGGACAGGGTTTTTGGAGGGGTATGATGCTCCAGCCCAGCACCCACCCCTTTCCTCACCAGGACAAGATGCAGCTTTACGATAAGGATGAGACACGCGCCCCCACACCCACTTTACCTCCCCAGGCAGGACGAGGCCCAAACCCCAGCACGCACCGCTCCCCATCAGGCCAGTAGGGAGCCTGAGGACGGGGCCGAGGCTCCAGCCCGGTACGCACCGCTTCCCCGAGCGGGGTCCCCGGGAAGGGGGTGCGGCACAGCCGCTTCTCCC